TATAGATATTTCTTTTGGTAATTGCAACAATATAAGTTGACAAACCGAATCATGTTGACAGGAAGTGAGAACTGCTGAGCGGGCTGCTGCTGGAAGCCTTATATGCTGGGCTGCTCCCCCTCCAGGCTTCCCCGCCCACCCACCCGGCAAGGTCAACGCATGGGGAAATTTGTGAATGAAGAACAGCTGACGATTTTGTATAAACTTCAAACGGGGAAAAATAATGAGGATGAAATTGGCCGTGTAAGGTTACCGTCTCTAGTAAAGGGTTATGTTGTGTAGTATTGCGGGAAGGATTTAAGGAGAGGAACATAGTGGAGGAAGGTCAGGGAGAGACGCAAAGGGGCTATATAATGGTCAGCAACGTTCCACACACACGTAGTTCCCTGTTAACTCCCTAAGGAACACTACGAACACTACCTTAAGAGCTCTCCAACATGCATTTGTGAGTTTTTAGTCTCACGTTTCGTTACTGCGAAATAGAGGCTACTGCTTCATGAAATTATTTCTTCTTTTCCTTTTTTTTTACCTTGATTTCAAACACACTTCTGAGAACTCATTTGAACACGCCCAAGATGGTTAATTGGTGATGTTCCTCCTCTCCCCAGCTCTTTCCTGACGGCGGCCCTGATGGCGGCAGTGGTGGCGGCGGCTCCTGAGGCCCAGTACGGTTATCAGGCCACTGTGAGTGATCCCAAAACCACGCCTTAAAAACCGTTTAAGTATTCTTAGATTTCACAGAATGTACTTTTGTTTTAGGATAAAAAGAAAATAATCTCAATTGCTTTCGCTCCCCAGAAGTGCCAGCCTGAGATCCAGTACGTGACCCGCACAGAGACCGTGCCCAAGTACGTAACCACAACCCACTACCAGACGCACACGCAGTACAAGACGCAGGTAACCTCTCAGTCTATACCATCTTTAAAATGCTCAAATCCAACGTTCTCAACTTCCTTATAAAACATCCTTTGCAATATAACATCAGGCATTCCCATTGCAGTACCAGCCACGCTACGTCACCCAAACGCAGCAGGTGCCACACTACGTCACCCGAACGCAGACGGTGCCCGAGTACATCACCCAGACGGTGCCTCAGTACGTCACTAGGACGCAGTACCAGACGCAGCACGTCACCGTCACCAAGCCATGCCCGAGCTCAGGAGGCAAGTGATCCTTAACCAGTAATAAATTTCCAGTTTAGTGCATTGCCAAAGAACCCTTTTGCTTTGATCATGATTCTTTATAGGATATTCAATGTTTTTACGACTTCCACAGGCTACGGTGGATACCACGGTTAAGGACTCCGAGGAATCTCCCTGGTATTTGAGTCTCAGATTCGGCTTTTATAACTTAACAAACACTCTTTAAACACGTTTTATATTCCTTGATAAAAAAGTTGGCCTGGATTCAAGGAAGGAAGGTATGAGCATCATACCAAACACACACTAAGATTAGATAATAAAAATTCTGAAGGTGATTTTTGTATTATTTTCGACAAATTAAATATTCAGCGCTATTTCCACATAACATGATTTATAACGATTAAGCAAACTGAAGTAACGTTATCAAAATCAATAACTACGTGTTTCACATTATGTGTCCAGTATTCTTGACGACCAAAGTGAGAGATAAGTAGATTGAGCTCCAGAGTTGAAAAAAAAACGATTGAGTTTCACAATCATAATATCCTCTATTAGACGGAAGGAAAGAGCACCCGTTTAAGACATGCTTCCCCTTCCTTCGCTGTCTGTCGAATCAGTGCACTCATATATGACTCGTTATAGAACATATTTCAAAGAATTTTATAGCATTGATCTTCCATCCATGTGGGACTTTTCCTTTTCTTTGACATTTATTGGCGTCACAGAGGAGACCACAGAAGACAGTGGCTGCGTGTGCAACTCCCCCCCCCCCTGGCTTTTACCTCAGAGACACGTACACAGGTCACGCCAGCATTTATATTATATATATATATATATATATATATATATATATATATATATATATATATATATATATATATATATATATAATATATAATATACATATATATAATATATACATATATATAATATATACATATATATGTTTATATTCATATGCATGCACACAGATACATAAACAATAATTTGGCTTCGGCCTGAAAAAGTGTCCGAAATAAGACGATCCATCACTTCATGAAATAAATAGAAAAGAAAGAGGCTTATGTGTGGATATGTGGGTGATGCTCTGCCGGTCGCCAAAGAGCAGAGCTGGGAATAGAAGAATAAAGCATGCAGCGATAACGATGATAATAGTGACATGTTCAGAGTCATGATGCCAATGAATGTGATAATGTTGAAAATGAAAATAAAAATGGTAGTAGCAATATCACTAATTATCACTACAAGGAGTATCGTAATGGTTATTATCGTCATCGTTACTATTGTTAAACATATCATCTTTATATTGTTGACTTATATGACCCTAGAATATCCATCAATAATTTGGTAATCAATACTAATACTGTATCATATCACATTTCTTTCATTGTTGTGATGGGTATTTTGAGTACTATCAAAATCAGCGTCATTGTTACCAAATACCGTTACCGTATCATAATAACTATCATCATAATCATTACCATCGCTATTTCAATATTCTCTGTTAATGCTGCTAATCTTATTACTTCCATATTCATCCTTTTCGCTTATCTACATCGTAGAACATAGTCAGGATGGCCGAGCGGTCCAAGGCGCTGCGTTCAGGTCGCAGTCCGGTCTTCCGGGCGTGGGTTCGAATCCCACTTCTGACATTAATTTTAGAACAGAGAGAATTGGTAAACATAAAGTCATCTCTGAAGAGCTGTTCCCATTTTTGTTAAAAACACATGGTGGGAGACTGGTTACCTTTAAATCCGTTACCCTATAGTTTATTGCGCTTCAATACTCAGTATGAGTTTATTGATGTGTGCTAAAATTTTCTATGTATATAAGGCTTTCATTTTTAAAAAAATGATAATTATTTCATTTAGAAGCTGCTCTTCTTTTCATAACCTGAGAAAAAAAAACAATTTTTAAAAAGAAGCCACGGAATGCATGAACGAGAGTTTCACCAGCAAGAAGAAATATATAACCGTTTTTAATACCATATATCAAATCCAAGAAGACAGCATGCATGGAGCGACCTACTTATCGCGGTGACGTACTCCTGCTGGACGGTTGCGGTGACGTTCTGTGGCACTGTCTCCGTCACGTACTGGGACATTGCCTGCATCTGCGTCACATAGTGGGGCACGGCCTGGGTCTCTGTCACGTACTGGGGCTGTCTTGGTCACGTAGCTGACCTCAGGAGGGCACATCTGGAGCGGATAGTTTTTCACACATGTATCCATATACACTTTAGAGACATTGCATAATAACAACACCTACGTAGTCAGGATGGCCGAGCGGTCCAAGGCGCTGCGTTCAGGTCGCAGTCCGGTCTTCCGGGCGTGGGTTCGAATCCCACTCCTGACAATAATTTTAGAAGGACAGACACAGAGACGATTTCATGCTATATACTTTGAGTCATCTCGAAATACCTGTTCCCGTTTCTGTTCAGACCCATAATCGTGGACGACTGAATACCATTCTGTCTCATACCCTTTGGATCATCAAGCGCATTGTATTTTGATACTCAGCATAAGGTCTTGGTGTGTGCTAAATTTTTCCATGTATAATAGGCCTTCATGAAAATACTAATCAAAATCAATTATTTTATTAAGAATTAGACAAATCTGATAAGGATGTTGGTCTGCTTTTCAGCCGTGGTAGCCATAACCTGAGAAAAAAATATATATTCATAAAGAGGGGCCAAGGAGTGCATTAATGTTTCACAAGGGAGAAGAAATGCATAAAACCGTCTTTCTATAACATATCAGAGCCAAGAAGACACACAGCGACCTACCTCCAGAGGGCTTGCAGTACTGGTCGACGGTGACGTACTCCTTCTGCTGGACGGTTGTGGTGACGTACTGTGGCACTGTCTCCGTCACGTACTGGGGCACTGCCTGCGTCTGCGTCACATAGTGGGGCACGGCCTGGGTCTCTGTCACGTACTGGGTGGTGTACTGGATGGAAAGATGGCAGAAAATTATTTAAACAACTAGCTTAGATAAAATGTATAAGGAATGGGAGAAATCAAGATGTATAAATGAGTAAATATCTTTGTTCTACTGAACTACCTGAAGGTTTGAGCAAAACTAGACAGAATAAATAGTTAACAGGTACTTACCGCGGTTTGGTACTGTGTCTGGGTTTGGTATCGGGTCACAGTCACATACTGGGGCACTGACTGCGTCTTGGTCACGTACCTGACCTCAGGAGGGCACGGCTGTAGAGGAAAGAGACAGTTTAGAAATTCCAAATGTCTAAGCAGGTCTTTATCTGAGGACTGGAAATAGAAGTGAAATGGGACTGGATTTTGAAGATATATCGAAAAGATGTGCAATTAATCGTACCAACCTTTGCGTAGCCATACTGCGCCTCAACGACCGCTGCTGCCAGGAGGATAGTTGCGAGAACAGTACTGCCAAGAGAAGAAAGGAAAACGTTTTTCATTATGTCATTTCAGTATATATCTTAAAATGTGTAAAGATAAACTGATGCACTTATATCATAATTTTTCAGGCGACGAACCGAATCATGTTGGTCATGTAGAAGTGACGCTGTTGCCGGAACGAAGCACTGCTGAGCGCTGCTGAGTCGGCCTGCCGTCGACGGCCTTTTATACTTGCATTTTCTCCTTCGTGGCCTTCCCGCCCACCCGACACGGTCGGTCGCCGCATGAGAGAATTTGAGAACTGGATTTATATTAACTTTTATTGTAGACATCACACGTGAACAGCAACAGTTGCTGAAAATGTAAATCTGATTAGTAAACCATATGTAAATAACTTTGCATTATAGAGTTAAATAAAGGAAATAGGAGGGCCGCAGTCGTAGGCCGGAGTGGATTCCACGAAGGTCAGGAGAGAAACG